TTACTCAATGATCTGACTGATGATATCATAACTTAATTTACAGCCTGTGTCTACTGTTAAAATGTTAGCAATTCACTCCTCAACTTTAAATGGACTTGAGATCTTACTTTACTGACCAAAAATTACCTTTGGTACAACATTTAGTCCTGCTGGATTCGGTATGTAATAGTCCCAATTTCTGAGTGCTAATAAAAATACTACATTGGCACAAATTAAACTGATCAAGTATAGCAACCTAACTTATATAAGAAATAATTCCTTAAATTAGAACAACTCTGTGCTTGGCAGGTGAAAGAAAAATATTGTGCAGATATATTTTGGATGCAGGCAATCGTTATTGTTTTTAAAAATGAAATAAGAAAATTGCCATTGATTTTAATCCCATTTTCTCAGGAGCATATTTTAAGCTTTATGATACCCAGACAGTGAGTCACTATATATTGTTAGAAGCAATTTCTTGGAAGTTATGGAGCGTAATTGTACTTTGGCAGGCTCATGAGCAGGGAGAGGTAAATATTTGCTGTCCTGGATCCGATAACTGGAAATTCATTCTTATCACTTGTGTAACTAAACTACATGGCCAATGCTAAGGTGCTTCATTTCCTTCTTCATCTCGGGACCAGAACAGATAAGTATGAAGGGAACTCATAGAGAAAATCATGTGCTATACAAACAACATTAAAACTTAACTTTTTAATTAAGTAAAAAGCTAAAACTGTGAGCAAATTATCTGTGTTAATAATCAGTGTTACAGATGTGATACCTGACATTTCTCAACTGCAATTGTGGATGTTCTTTAAGAAATCTTATCCTCCAGTTATTGATCTTGTTCTACTTGTTGTCAGGTTTTTAAAATAGCAGACTGACACATATCTAATTATAAAAATAATTTGACATTTGAGCAATGAAAGCATTTAAAATGATTTACACATGACATAAGTGGCATTTATGTTTGTCAGTGCCTCATTATAACGTGTAAGAACATGTGAAGAACATTTATTACCTGTAAGCGTGTTATGAAAATAGAGGCTGATACTTTCTTCAGACCATTGTAACAACAATGGCCCAACTACAACATTTCTATCCACCATATTCAATGATCTTCCAAAGCATAACATTAATTATTGAGATGTGTTTTAGAGGAACTAATGGCACTCTTTTCCCCAGACAGATGTCGATATGGAGGATAGAGAAAATAGATGTTGCACTATAAAACTGTCAAACAACTCTTCAGGGGATATAATTGCTTCTTCCTGCACCCTGGTCTTGTCATTCCCACCCTGAGTGTAGACACATTGAAAGCTTCCTCATTTCCCCCCAAAATCCACCAACTTACCAAACTCCTCTAGACTATCCTGAGATACTCATTTTCCCCCACAGCATCACACATGATTGAAAAGCATCTGCTAAATGATAAAAGGCACCGTCGTTGCCAAATTAGCACCACATTCAAAAGTTCTGAAAGGCTGCTGAATGTCAACAATGGAGGCTGAGCAGCAAAAGCTTAATTATCCTAAATGTTTGTGTGGGTGTGTGTGCGGCTATGTACAGAATGCACGTGTGGTGTGTGTGTGTGTGTGCTCTTTACCCAGGTTTAGTACCGATGATGTAATATCATATATCTGTATTTGTCTCAGGATAAGCATTACATCATTGATACCACTGGCAGCCAGTGAGGCAGAGATGCTCGGGCTGCACTGACACTGAAGGCATCACTGGAGCTGAAACAGTGAAGGCAGCTGGAGGATCTGTTCAGTCTACCAGTCTGCAAATTACACAGCAACCCTGTCTCTTAGGAATTATGTTTGTATACAACTAACGTGCAACACATGTTGAAGGACATTTCTTATCAACATAATGAGGAAACATCATTAATTAACATATCTGGCAAATTGCAAAATGTTGGTATGGAACATAACAATATCCGCTTTTAGCAACTCAGCATTAATAAAAGTTTTTAAGTGACTGGAAAACGTGCAGTCTTGCTGTACTTTTTAAGGTTTAAAAATTTAAATAGTCATCCATAAAATATCTCTTTTGATGATACATAACATCATAAAAGCACCTGGGAGGGATTCATCTTTCAAAGCCCCATTATGTAACTTTCCAACCTTAAAATAACAGCTTCAAAATCATTTTGACTTGTAATAGGGTGAATGGTGCCTCTGTCATTCCCACTCTGTGCCCTGTACACCTGTTCTTGCATTGTGTAACATTGGTCTCAGCTTTATCGCTTTTTGGCAGCAGTAACAGACCACCAACTTTGTCACTGATTTTGGTGAAACCGGATCATATTTTATGGAGAAAATGTTTTTTGGTTTCCTGATGGACCGAAAACTTTACTAGTTGCTAAAATAAGTTAATTGTTAAGCTTACTAGCTCAGTCTGTGCTGCCCGGATGGGAGCTTTACGCTGCTAGCAAAGGAGTTTTGGACCACTGGGAGAAGGTTTTCAGGCCCGGGGCAAGGGAGAGTCAGTTGGGGAGTGCTGACGGGAAGCAGGAATTGGGCGAGCGGGCAACGTAACCAGGCTCTGCAGCCTCTGTGGACATGGCAGAGGCAAAGATACCAAGGGGACACTGATGGAGGAAACTAAGAACAGAAAAAGGAGAGAGTGACCACCGGACAAGAGTGAATCTCAAACTGGCTTTTAGTCGTAGGCGAGAGCTTCATGAAATAAAAGGCTACAAGACAGATGGCCATTTGTTCTTGCTGTTGTTCTTGCACTTGCTTGATGTTTGGCTATGTTAGAAAAGTTGTCGACTTCCTAGTTCTTGATTACAAGTAATGTAATTATATTTAACACTCTGAAACTGGGGACACCATATCACAACAAATCTTACATAGTGTTACTTTAAATATAGAGATATTATCACAGTGACTGTTCTGATCATTGTTTAACCTTCATTTACGTGTTTATCTGTTCATCACAAACTTGCAGTATGTACAATTGCAGTTCTGTACTAAAACATTGGGTACCCTATTGTTAGTATGGTAGGAAACAACAGCCTAACAAGCCTGTTTCTTCATTTTGGCTTCATTCAATGTCAGGGATTCACAGCCACATTTACAATTGAGAATCAATCTCATTTCATGTTGTACACAGCAGCAGGTACACTGTAATGCAAAGTTATTAGCTCACTTGACAGCTCACACAACCAAAGGCATAACTTCATCTGACACGCTCTAATAAACTGATACCAACTGTGATGTCGTCTGCTTTTCCTCCTGAAAACTTTTAAGTGAAGTGAAATGAGAGGATGTCACATTACTCATACTGTGTCTCCATTTCTGAGTCAAGGCACAGAAAAAACTCAGACTGTTCTGATCATATTAGTGGCTAAAGTCCAATGACCAGCTCAATTGGCTAATAAAGCAACAGCCAATCATGTTGGGAGATAATTACGGCCTGTACAGTGGTAGCCCATAAAGGATTTGCTCTTTGCTTTCTTGCATCAAGAGTATGTGCAGCAAGGGGTAAGTCCACTTCTGTTATAGTTAAAGTTAGGTTTGTTTTAACTGTTTAAAGGAGGTTTTAGCTAATAGAGTGTCAGATAAGCAATTTAGGCTTGTTGGCCTATTGTGAAGCATTACAATCTGACGAACCAGCTCTCACAAACAAAAAAATCAAGCATCATAAACCTCCACCTTGAGCAGCTACAACAGTAAAATGCTACTTATGAGTTGATGCATCAGAACTAACAAGTAGCCTACTTTTACTTTTGATACTTTAAGTTTATTTTTCTGATAATACATCTGTACTTTTACTTGAGTAGGATTTGAAATTGAGGACTTTTAATTGTAAAGGAGTATTTTTACATGGTGGTATTGGTGCTAAAATATCTGATTACTTCTTCCACCATGGAGAGCAGCCCACGACTCCACACAATGCCCCCACTCAGATCTCACTTTACAACTATGATACACTAAATGATAACAAAAATTGATTATCTGGATAAAATGTCACCCATAAACGCGTGCACACACACATACACACACACTGGTTTCCATCTGCAATGGGGACCAAGTTTTTGACCACTTTTGATCACTGGTGGGGACCATCCTTTCTAGAGGTTCTAGAAGTATGAAAAAAATGAGGTACACTTGCCATTGGTTGGTTAGCTCATAGACGACTTCAAATATCTGGATTGATGAAGTAATGATTTCCCCATGCTAACTGGAGACCTGTGAAAAATCCAGTTTGTAGGGGACCTAATTTAAATATAATTTACACAGATTTCCAATTGATTACTGGGGACCAGTGTCATTATGATATTTTCACTATTTATAGTGAAAACAGGCTAAACATACAATTTGATTTAATAAGGAGTACAGTCTAGACCTTCTGTATTTGGAAAGATGACTTTTGTTATGAATTGGAGCTATACAAATAAAATAAAATTGGAATTAAATGAGCATTTATACTAGAGACATTGTTCTAACTTAATCTTTTTGATATCAGGGGTCACTTAAGTACCAAGAATTGAGTAGTGAATTACTGTCTAGAAATTGTTGTCTCACCCATGTCTGCCAAACAAAAAGTCAAACCTTTTAACCTTAATTTCACTGTAAGAGTTATTCTTTGTTTACATCTCACAGGGTTCTTATTTTTAACCACAGTCAACTACCCAGAAACTGTGGAACTACTTCTCAGTTACAGAATACTCAACAACCCTAATAAAACTAGTATTCATGTTTGTCTGTGTTGTTTGCTGCATTACTTCATAGTGAATATTAATTTCCTTAGTTCAAGAAATCAAACTCTCATTTAAATTATACAATTTAACTTTTTAATGAGTCCTGCTCATTTGCTTTCTCTCAAGAGAACACTGAAAGCAACAATACAAACTTGTATATATATATTTAAACATGCTTAACACTTGTTAACATGACATGCCAAAGCGTTTCGAAAGAAAATAAATATTCTATTTACCCTGCATTTTGCTCTTGTAGGCTGTAATGCAATTATAAACATACAATTTCAAGGTCAGCCAATCCTGGTTCTTGAGAGCTACTGGTTCAGCTCTTAAACATTTCTCACAGTCACTCTGTGCTGGCACAATACAAGAAGTGATGAATGTACTTCTCGACTGCCTGCACCTCTGCCTGCTGCCAAGGTTTTCATTTTTTGGCCGGTTTTACCTGTAAGTGAGCAGAAAAACAATTCTGTAAATAAAATAAATAGGGAGCATCTCGTTATTTACAGCCCATTCTAAATTCCAAATGTTAGGAGATTTCATGGCTAGATTTTACGCACCTGTTAGCAATGGGTGTGGCTGAACACCTGAACTCAGTAATTAGTAGGGGTGTCCACTGACTTTTGGCCTTATGCTGTACTGTATATGCTATCATATACAGCACAAGTGAAATTATCGTTCAACTAATGGCTGAAATTACATTGTCAGTCAAATATCTGCCACTTGAGCTTAAATAAACACTGGAGAAGAGGGCAATAACAGTATTTATCATCCACATCACATATCTTCTTCTACCAGTTTGGATACTAGAGAGATTGTGTAAAAATTCACCTTTACAAGAAGGTCTTACAGTACTGGCTTCAGAAGATATCACTTACTCTGCTGATGGCAGTTTATGTGTCTTGATTGTTGATGGGAATTCATTCCCTTCAGTTGGGAAGAGTCTCCTCTGCTGATTGCTCTATGAAAAAATAAATAACATAAGAATTGTTCAATACGTCATCAAGAGACGGAGGTTTGGTGCTTGGTTTCAGGCTAGCATCACTCTCTTCACTTTCGGAAGTGGTATCTGGTATATCCCTTCACCACTCCCTGATGCAGAGTCGGATACTTAATTTGAATCTTCAACATCTGTGTCTTTCATCTAAGAATAAAATAACTTACTTAGACATATATCCTTTGAACTGAACACAATCCCAGTGCACTATATTATGACAATTCAATTAAAATTATTTAAAATACCTACAATGTTAATCCAACCACTTAATTGCACATTTTAGATTATAATTTTCTCACACACTCTGGTGTTTGGTAGTGATGTTAACAAATGGTCCTAAAAACAGCAATAGTCTAAACACAAGAAAATATTTAGAAACTGTGAAGTCTGACATTGATTTGGTGAATGTTTATAGTTCTGAACATAGATAATATTCCTTTGTCTGCAAACATACCGTTTGTGCTGTCACAAAAATATACCTTGAAAACAAATCTGAATAATTAGGACAAATCAAATTTACAACATTTGCGATTTGTAAGTTTAGGCAACACATTGACTTTTTTAATGTTTGAAAGACAGCCTTAAAATATAACTACATCTAAAATATTCTAATTGTAAACTCAGAATTTATACTTTTAAATTACATAAATATGAAAAACAAGTGTTCAATTTGATGTAATCACTGCTTAGTATTTAATTACACTACTACATATTCTTAATGACACATTTCTAAAGTTAAATTCATGCCAACAGGCACAAAACTAAAGGTTAAAAATCATCAAATTCAATATTTCCTCCTCCATCAACATCTGTCTGATTTCACACATACTGAATTAAACAGGCTTAGTGGGGAGATATCACACACCATGTCGTGGTTCCTTATGGGGACCATTTCTAGACCAAGTCTCTAGGTTGTCAGATACTTAACACAGTTTCTATTCAAACACTGACGGAAGGTGTACTGTGGGGATGTCGTGAATGTCCCAGAATAGAGTGATATTTTGTCAAAAAGAATATCCCTATAAACGTTAAAATCTGTCCTAAATATCCCATTACCATTAGCTTTCTAGATGCATTACATAAAACTGCTCGAGACTTCTGATTCACAATAGATTACCATCATAATGAACGTATTTCCCTTATTTACCATCTTGAAGGACAGAAAAAGCAACAAACAGTGGGTTAGAAAGATTCTAGGAGTAAAGCTAAAGTGCTAAACATGAATGTACCTGTTGATTAGTGTCTTGTGCACTCAAAGTTTCAGCCATCTGCATCTCTAACAAGAGGAATGATGGCATTAGCTGAAAAAGATTTCACTTAGGTTTCACCTCACTACAAATACAAACAAATGAATGAATAAGAAAGTAAGACTTATATGAGAATTTTACCACTTACTTTCCAATAGGGTTACATTTGAGCAACAGCTATTCCAGACAGTATTCCCTTAATTTATTTTTCAGTTGGTATAAACTCCTTGAAATGCACAGAATTCCATCATGTAATAACTAACAGTATCTTTCAGGGAAAACGAAAAACATTGTTAGTAAAACATTGTTAATTTGCTAGTTACACTTGGCTTCTGTGGCTAATTAAAGCTAATTTACCACATTAGTTGGTCAAAATGGTTATCTATAAAAATAATGATTACAGCAAGTAAGTAAATAAGACAATAAAGCTTACCTTGTGGTGTTGTAGTTCCTCTTTTTATTCCGACAAACATCTTAAAATAAACAGCCTTTGCGATTGCTACCTTTAAACACTGAAAATTGTGTTTGCTATTAAAATCCTTCTTAATGAGGACCAGGAAGTGGGCGGTAACAAACCATGTTTGGAAGATCTGTGTGTGTGGAACAATGAGTGCCTTACCAGCTCATACTGTAAGATCTGAATAACCTTCAGATAGACTCCTGCATTCATTTGAAAGAGTTTCTCTTTAGGGGACCTCATTTTCGTCCCTATACTGTCTGAGGTCCCCATGACGTGACTGTGTAAACATTTTCTTGTCCCCAGAATGTGATAAATGCCAACACACACTTGCGCACACACACAAACACATACACACACACACACACACACACACACACACACACACACTGTCTCACTCAGACTGACTCCATTGCAAAAAGTGCTTTGTCATTTATTATTTCTGCAATTTATAATCCTTAATATACTTTCCTCTGTGGCGAAGGCAGAGCAATGGGTTCAACCGAGGCATTTCTGAATTATGAGCCAAGCAAAAAACGGTTTTAGAACTTGGCTGGAATTAAGTTTGCTTCGATGACCTCATTACACAATTTAAGTAATCACTGCAACTGAGTCGCACACACATTTAGAATAATGCAACCGGGAATGTAATATTGCAAAGTATTGATCTTTCATTTTCATTATTTGGTAACTTTCCGTCGAAGCATTTTGACAGACTGTGGATGAAAATGGCTGTGCCCTGAGTTAATTACTCTACTTGGAAACACATCCTGTGTTCAAAGGTTGGAGCAGAGAACGTAAAAAAATCAGGCATGATCATCTATGTAAAACTTCACAGTGGCCCTTCATCTTCGACAACAGCCAGTTCTACTTAGTAAGCCACAAGAAAGTGTGGCTGACAGTGTGCAGGAGCCCTCCTGTAATTCCTACTGATACCTGTGCATTATGCTACCGCTCCTCTGTGGAAGAACACATCAAAAGGAGATTAAAATTAAAACTAAAAACAAGGTGATCCAATGTATGGTTAAGTCTGCAGATGATAAGCACTGTCCGGAAATTCAAGACAAAAACTGAGACTTGAAAATTACCATAATGGAAACGTACCAAGCTGTAGTGAGCTGTGGGTTTTTTTTTTTTTTTGCAGGTGCCATAAATGATCCAATGTGGACAACCACGAAATATCAAGTGACCTTTTTATGACAATGCCCGACCAATACAGGATTCGGAGATGATGTCTGTCTGTTGTGCAGTGCCAGTCACCCAAACCAAAAGATCAGAGAGAAAGAGGAGGAAGGGGGGGTCAGCAACAACATGTTTGTCTGGCGGAGTAAATTGATCACCGTGTGGATGTCACATAGCTGGTGTTATTCCCTTTTGGAGCCACAGAGAGGGTCATTGTTATATTGTGAATACATGAATACAGATGTATGGCTTTCTTCAAGGTTTTTTCTTTAGACCCCGAATGCATCAATGCAGACTGTAAACATGCCCGGTCCTGCGTCTGAGCTCAAACATACAAGAATTATGAAGGGCAAAACTTAAAATGTGCTGCCACACTGATACCCCCAGACACCATTCAACCACACAGCCATAATTAATACTTTATTCACCCACAGTTGCCTTCATGAGGAGCAGATGCAGGGAAGATGACCTGAGATTGGGAAACCACATGTGAAGAGGCAGCGTGGAAGCGAGGTATCATGTTTACTTTCATAAATATGGCAACCCCCCCAATCATCCCCCCTCCCCACACCCGTTCTCCACCTAGCAATTAAATCCAGTTAGAGATTACTCTCAGCTGCATCCCGGTCTTCACAGGAGTCTCAGCCTCCAGCCTGGACTGATAATAACTATGGTCTGCAGTGTTTCAGCCATTCATTTGATAAAGTGCTTTTCACCTTGCAGCTTTCATTATCCACACACCAGAAAGTGTGTGCATGTGCATGTGTAAGTTTATTTCTCTTGGCTTGGAGTAAGCTGATTAAACAAGTGTCATGTCATTATTCTGTAATCAATTTTTCAATTATGATTCAGGCTCTATAACGCTGTAATGGAAGGTGAACTAGAATCTATATTGGAGCAGCAAGGTGATTAGACGTCGCTGGAAGCTTTCCAAAGAAGAAAAAAAAGGAGAGGTTTTTTTTTTCTGAGTTAGATCGATCCTGTTGACTGAGATGGCCTTGGTTCATAACAGACCATGTCTGCTAGCAACAGCTTAGCTGGTCCACTGAGGCATCTGTCCACACATCTTTTGGGGATGTTCTTTAAAGACGGTGAGTAAAGCAGTCCCTCTGAGAAAGAAGGAGAAAAAGATGTTTATTGTGATGGCCCTGCTTGACACTGTGAGGCTGCCTCCATGGTGCAAAAACATGCTACTCCAGGGCTAGACTTTCAGACAATCTACAAGCAAAGACTTATGAAACTATATTAACATGGCCATGAAGCAGATGACCTGATTCTTCGTTTCATGACGTCTCTATTTAAACTCATAGAGGAGGGTGCCCATCCTTAAAGCCGATTAGGTGCTTGTTTTTCACTGCTGTAGCCAGGCCTATGTGTATATTATATAGCAATTAATAAAATGTATCACTAGGATACAAATGTTCAAAGGATAATTCTGCGTTATTACAACTGGGATAGTATTTTCATAGTTTTAGCCATCATGTCAGTTATAATAAAAACATTTAAATAATAACCGGATTTATATTTTAAAGGCCCAAAAAAAATTTTTGGTTAAGGAGATTTTTATATTTGTGTTTTTGTCTTTGCCATTCTCATTGTTTGAAGTGGACAGGGATTAGATTGAAAAAGGTGATTTCATGTATTTTTGTGCATCGATCAGCAATCAGACCAATTCTGATGACTCTTTTTCACTCTTCTTTCTGAACTTTAACTTTGATTGTTGCTTATTTAGTCACTGATATTTAAAATAATAGATTTATAAAAAAATTATAACATTTAAATACCACTGTGGTTTGAATACTAAACTTCAAATGTAGACTTTTGTAATATTTTCGGCTTTTCTTTAGCTCATAACATTTAAAGAGCGAGCAGTGGCAACCTCACATATCAAAACAAAGGAACAGGCTGACTGATTTGCTCTTTAAAGGTCCAGTGTAAAGGATTTAGTGGCATCTAGCGGTCTATTGCAACTCCCTCACTTCACCCTCCCCTTCCAAGTGCAAAGGAGAAACTATGGTGACCCCAAAACAAGCGGAAAAGGCGAACAGGCCTATCTAGTGTCAGTGTTTGATTTGTCCGTTCTGGGCTAGAAACATGGCGGTTCATCTCCACGAAGGCGACCCACGGAATCTGGAGATATAAACGGCTCATTTTAAGGTAACAGTAACATTACAATTCTTATTTACAGGTGATTATACACTAATGAAAACACACCATATACAATATTATTTTCCATTTCTGCCAAAACGAGAAAACAGCTAAATCATTTCTTTAGCCTATACTGTCATTTTTCTGACTATGAGAGATCAGGTTGAACAAAGGTGCAACCAGATGTCAGCAACTAAAATTTATGACACTATTATCCCCCCACAGACACACACACATTCACCTCACACGTAACTTGTTCCTCCTGAGAAATATTGCTCACTGTACTGGCATGAGTTAGCAAATAATTGCTAGTCAGGGGAGGAGGTAGCTTATAATATGCATTGGGAATTTTAATCTTGACTTTTAATAAGCTTTTGACCTTCTTGCGTCTGCAGCCTATAATTAGAAATTCTGGCTGGGCCAGATTGACAGAATGCTGTGTCTTAGGGGAGGTAAAACCTTGTGCGACTGCGGTCAGCAGACCTTCTAAATCATAAGGCTGCATGAGAAATGTTTAATCTAACAAATTGGTTTCTGTTTCCTCTCCTTTTTTCATTCTTTCATGCAGTAGGTATTCTGAATATGGAGGTGATGTCATCGTCTCATCCTTTTAAGAGTGACTGTGGACCATATATTCTGAGGGGGAGGCAGAGAATCAGGACCTAATGGTCTTTCCTTCTTCAGCCAAATCTAATTGTGCCCTTATCTTCTCCAAGTTTAACTGCCCCATTGAAGAGGATTGAGCTGTCTGGACTTTAACTGTTGACTTGCTGTGTTTGTTTTTGCATATATGAAGTTTTTATACCAAATTGAGCTGCAGCGCTTCTTGATATTTCTGCTAATGACAGCATGCAGGTAACCTGGTCTGAACTTCCTTGAACAGCTGCAGTTGCCGTCTTCTTCTATCCCAGTTAAAAAGAACTCTCTCTTCTTCTTTGGGCTTTTGCATCTGTCAGGCAGCACTAAATTTAGTGGCTGGCGTTTATTTACTTTATGTCCTTGCTGGTGTGTCCTTGCTAAATGAAGGCGAACAAGACTGTCACCATCCAGAGGACAGAAACTGCCTAGCCCCTCAGGGTTTGATGGATAACGTGGGGATGTATATGCCTGTGTGTGTGCGTGAACAGAACAAGAATATACGTCCGCAAATAATCTGTGCATGTACACACGTGCACACACTCTATTTGAACAATTACTGTTTGCAGTAATCCACTCAGATCATACAGTACAGGAAGCTGGGTGCATGACCAGCCATCACAACAGGCCTGTGTGCCTCCAGTCATACAGGTATTTGA